ATTTGAGGACCCGACCGCGCAGAAGAGGTTTTTCTGTAAACCCACTTTGGGATAAAGAGGGTATTGTGGTTACAGTTTGTGAGTGCAAGGAGCAAGCCTCCATTGCAATGGACTTCAAGTGCTCAGTTCAGGGGTCACCAAAAGCCTAGAGCTTTAAACAATTGGAGACAAATAAACGGTTTTATTATCTTCTGATAGTTTTTTGAGTTTGGCAGATGTGGCACCCTCCACAGTCCATGGATATGATGGACCCCGCGCCAAATTTCCTCTATCAGACTGTGGCTTGGCGGCTGTAAATTGCTACACTTCTCTTTTTTCTTTTTCTTTTTTAAATAATTTTTTTCCACAACAAAAGGTGCGGAAAGACAAAAAAATTGAACCAAGCCGGTATTGAAAATAGGTGGATTAAAAAAGATATTTTTTAGTAATGGACAAAAATAAATCTATTTTTTATTTATGGTGAATTACAATTCTGATTTTTGTAATTTGGCATTTTCAGTATTAATTTTTATATCTAAAAAAATTTGGGAGCTTTAGCTTTAAAACACAATATAGTTCACTAATTTGGAAGATAAGAATACAATCTCATCTAATTAGCATAAGGCCAAAGACCAAAATGTAATACCTAATTTTACAAAAAATATCATTAAAAATATCAAAATTACACACAATGCCACTCTTTCTAAGGCAAGCATACTATGCCACATGTCCATATCTAGCCAACCACCACCGCTACCACCGCTCATCGCCGGCCTACCACCGTCAGCAGGGGACCAACTTCGTTGCCCTTTATTCACCTTTAAAAAAAAGATTTTGAGTCATTGAATGGACTCGAACCTTGACCCTCAAATGAGGAAGGCTCACTCACAAACCACTACACCAAACTTGATTTTGTAATATTTATTCAGTTATACAATATTTATATAAACAATCAATGGTTTAAAAAAAAAAAATTCATTTCAACACTTATTCACACAAAAACTGCAAACAAAAACAGAAACCGCAACAAAAATACAATGTAGATAGGGAGCTTTAATTTTAAAACACAAGATAGTTCACTAATTTGGAAGATAAGAATACAATTTCATTTAATTAACATAAGGCCAAAGACCAAAATGTAGTACCTAATTTTACAAAAATATCATTAAAAAATATCAAAATTACACACAATGCCACTCCTTCTAAGGCAATCATACTATGCCACATGTCCATATCTAAGGCAAGCAAACTTGATTTTGCTTCTCTGCAGGAAAAAGGCCTTTCTCTGGCGCTTTACAGTGACCTTCTTAGCCATGGTTGCAACCTCGTGGTCTCCGTTTGAGATTGAATCCAAAGCTGGGGCGTGATCTGGCTCCCATATAAAATACAAAGGGTAAAAATGTTATTTCAAATACAAATTAAACAAGCTTAAAAAGCACATGGGTAAGGCCATTGGCTTTTAGCAAAATAAAATTTAAAACTCATCCACCATATCCAAAACAAAAATAGGTAATGTATCATATGCAAATTACTAAAGTTTTTTGTCACTATACACTAATTTTTCTAAAAAATTTAGGGGAAGCGCCAAGGCATACCAAGGCCTCTTTGATGACTTACAGAGAGGGTCTTAGCCCTTTTTTTTGGTTTCTACAGATTACTCACCAAGAATGATTATTGGCAGCGCGACTCGAACCTATGTCTGAATAGCAAAGAAAACGATCCTTACCAACTCAATCAACCCTCGTTGGCTTTGGCATTTTCAAGTTAATTCTTGTAGTACTTGTTCTAACAAGTGAACTTGTCTTTCAATTTCACCAATGCATATCCCAGCTAGCTCGTCTTTCAATTTCACCATAACAGTTAAGAAGAGAACAAAGTGTGAGGACATGATGGAAGGCTCTGAGAGCTTGATTGACATTCTGTTTTCTTGGTCTCTCCAAGACATTCTTAATGAAAATCTTTAAGATAACAGTATTGACCATAGCACTTTCTTGAGCTTTTTGTTTTCATCTCTGCATGGCATGTTATATATCGATTGACTTATTATGATAACAGTATTGACCATGAAGTTATGTCAGAAAGAACAGCAACACCATAAGGCAGAAGAGGGATTCGACGGTGTTGAGAGCAATACATTCAGACATGTTAAGTCCGAATACTGAGGCTGAGGTGATTTCTGCTATTTCAACTACTAATGTGACTGCTTTGCGCCAGCTTTTCATGACAGTCAATCCCGAACTCTGTTTACTGTCAAGCAACATGTTTCACAGTTGAAAAGGTGAGCGGATTATTCGAATAAAGATGTTTGCTCCCTTTTTTTATTTCTTTAAAACTAGTTTGTTTTCTTCTGAAATATTTTCATTTGACAGAAAACTTCCTTCTTTCTTTTTCTGCTGAAAGGCTCTGTTATAAAGTAATGGCTTTCTTCTGGGAAGGGTGCTCTGCCTTCTTATTTTCTGGTTTTTAATTTCTTTTAGGTACAAATAAGAAAAATAAATAAGGGCCTGTTTGGATGAGGGATTTGGACAAGGTATTTGGGCTTTCATGGGATTTACAATTCCCTATGACCTAATTACCTTGCTTGACAAGCCCATTAAGAATAACTTCATAAATGACTTGGAATTTGAAGGAGGGACTCGTAAAGCCCAAATCCCCTTCTGAAATAACACCTCCCCAGGCGTTACTTTGAAATTTTCTCAACGCTGGAACCGAACCATGACCAACAGAAAAATCAATAGGGATTAC